TACTAAAAAATAAACTATCAAAGCAATGAAACCCCTTATTTTGTATAAAGGTTTGATAGAGGATCATTTGTTCAAATGGATCTTGCTTCCACGTGTTTTGTTTAATCATGACTGACAGGAACACACAGATCTTATTACCCAAAGGTAAAATGATTTTTTAAATAGTTTTTAAGAACAAAACAAGCAGGTATGGTTTCAAATAAGGACTGCAACCATCCACTCAAAAATATAACCTAAAAAGGATTTTTATTAGCCATTTACCACAGAAACAAAACCTCATCACATACTGGTTCCCACCATGTTTAATCTATTTCATCCTCTTAAATTAACCTTCATTAATATTAATCCATAACACGACAAGTCAAACCTCATAGATGCGGCATAAGGATCCTATCACCACAGAGGCTAATCTCTTAAAAACAACCACAAATCCCACAGCCAGCATTTCTTCTGTCAGCAAACCCTGAGGAAAGGATGTTTATCGTCCTCCTGCAGTGCCACGCTGGGTCACGTGCACATGTAATGTCATCTATTTAGCATCCTTAGGCAGCGAATCTCCTCTGAACTCTCTCAGACCTGGATCTGTCTGTTCTGCTACCCATCACCAAAGAGTCAAGTTCTGGCTAGAATGAAACCTCACCCTCCCTCTCATCCTCAGCATGAAGACCTTAGAATTTATAAAGCAGTTAACATAATGTGCAAGGGATATGAAAGCAATTTAGGGAGTTTCATCCACAAAAAAATCCCTAATATTTTGACTTTGACGTGCTTGATTTAAACAGAGAAAACATATAAATATCTCAAATCTAAACAGAAGGCTGTCTAAACTGTCCTAATGCAGCTGTCGTCTGTCTCAGTTGTTTGTTACACTGTCAAACCTTTATGATATTTAAGAAATAACAAACTAATGCTTGGTAGCAGCTCATTATAGTGTTGTCAGGGCAAACTATCAGATAAAATACAATAACAATCACAAATGTTGGATGTGAAATGTTTCCGGCTTCGTTTTTTTGCTCACTTTGTCTGACATTTTTTTAAACAGTAATTCAATGTTTAAAAACAATTTTGTAGATTAGGTCTTGACAGTAAAAGTCCCAAGCAAGTTTGATTCAAACAAAAATCACAGAATCACGGTTGCAGCTTTTGTTTAGAATTAATCAATCTTTGCTGGCACATAAACATTCTAGCTGTCTGCAGAGTTGATATTTGTTGTGCTCCGATGAAAATGCTGCAGGGCTTTATACTTCCATTCATTTTCTTAACCCGCTGCTTCCTTTTTTGAGTCGCAGTAGAGCTGGTGCCTGTCTCCACAGGTCCTTCAGCAAGAGGTCACAGGTCCACCACAGGGACACATAGAGACCGAAAACCAGACAACAGTTCACTCTTCCTCACACCTGGGGACAATTTACTGTAGAGTCACCACTTGACCTAACATGCATTTTTTATTTTATTTTATTTTTTTATCTGTGGGAGGAAACTGGAGTAGCCACAGAAAACCCAGACATGCAGAGAACATGCAAACTACACAAAGATAGCATCAGCCTGGTGAGGAACCTACGATTTTGCTGTGAGATGACAGCTTTAACCACAGAATGTAGTGTGAAGTGCTTTGAGTATCCTGGATGGATAGAAAGGCGCTATACAAGTACAGTCCGTTTACCATTTGACCACTGCCCTGCCGTGTCACCACTGTTATTACAATCTACAGACATTATTCTGGCTTATAAAACATAAACACATTAAAAAAAGACAAAAAATATAAAATTAGATACAAAATGTTTAATACTTTCCAAACTCCCAGAAGGAAGTATCTAATGTTTTAAAACACAAATTTAAAAAAAATGCATTTAAGGCTTTTTGTTTTTATTAAGTTGACTTGTGAAAAAATATCTAAATATAAAAAAGCCACTGCTGACTGTGCACACTATGTAAAGTACTCTGAGATGTTGGGTTTGTCAAGTCAGAGTTGCTGGATTTGCAGCCATCACATTTAGTTGCAAGGTTTTCCATCCTCACAAAGCTAAATCAGTCGTAATGAAGGCTGGGGGTTTTGTGAAATAGTCTGCAGTCAGCCGTGCTTCCATCTTGCTTCATAAACCGAGCAGCTACGTCATCATTTCCACATGACTGATGATGTAAGACAGACTAAGTAAACCAACCCTACTGTAAAACACAAAGCCGCATTTCCCTGTTCAAAAGAACCATATGGTGAGTTCCACAGATGAATCTCATTCATTAGTCCCACAAGCTCAGGATATCCAGAACTCATTTCTAATCTATTTTTACCTCTTTCTCTGTGGCGATGTTTTTACTACTTGTAAAGAGGCAACTCATATATTGTTTTATTTCATGAAACAGATGTTTTCAGGCAAAAGAGAATCAGTTACAAGACAGAGAACAGAAAGGGGTATAATCCCTATCCCAAACCACTGTCCATACAGCAGCTGCAGTACACTTTCTTCAATATGAAGATTAGTTTATTTTCATCCACATTCACTTAATACGGCTTCATTTGAGCCTTTAGTTTACTATTTCTGACATTTATTCACTATAATGCAAATGCTGCAAAATTTATTCTGATAAAATTCAATTTGTGCAAAAGCAAATATGTAAGTTATGCTATTCAGTGTAGATGATTTAGGTTCATAACCGCTAACAAGTTTACCAGAAAAACAAACATTTTTGAGAATTCAGTAATTGTGTATTAGTCATAAATCACAGTGAAGAAAGCAAATACCCTGAATATTAACCAGTAATATAAAAAATAAATGAATAAAACTTTCACCATTTAAAATTGAACCCAAAATGTCTAGTTTTAGGCATTGCCATATTGTATTTTTAAAGTCCATGTCTGTGCACAAGGGACGTGAGGCTGTAACACTGGTGTTGAAATCCTCCCAACTAGAGAACAGGTTGTCAAGTTATCAGTCAAAGTGGAACATGACACATTTTGAGATAACTATTTGAATTTAAACATTTTTATCTATATATTTGAACGAACAAGTGCCATGCAACTCTGCAAAAATAAACATGTAAAAATTGTCGTGTGTTTCTATTTTTAGTGAGGAAAATATTCCAAGTTCAATTAAAAGGGTGTAGTTTAAACATTATACTGCATAAAGTCTAGTAGGAGGAATTTGGTCCTTTGTGGCTTCAACCCTCAGCTTCCAATCCTATGTTTTGTTATAAACATGCAGTAAAACACAGTTTGATGATAACAGCTTCATCAATCTTTGTTCCATCTGCATGCAACTGAACGTTGCCAACTCTAAAATGTCCACATTTTTAATTAAGATAAAGCAGGGTTATCATGAAATAAAAACCTGAACTAAAAACAAAACTGCAAAACGTTCACTTCTTAAACCAAACTATACTGTAAAATAAAAATAAAAAGCTGAGATTCCCAGATGGCAGAGAGCCTTCTCTCAACCTGCAGTATAGAAATTTGAGCAAACTGAGCCACTATTGCCACAAACTAGCAAATCAAAATGCCTGACTACAAATAATGACTTCAAAAGATTAATTTTCAATTCTAGATATATATAAAACAAATATTAAAAATCAAAAACACCCAGCAGTCACAAAACTTTATAAATTCTATCAGCTTAAACATATTGATTTTTTTTTTAAATTTGCTAAAGCTTTGCAATTCATTTAAAATACCATCAAGCTATTTACAAGAACCCACTGAACTACAAGGGTTTGTTTGGGTGTAACTGGAGCCGGATGCATTTCAAAAATAGGCAGTCAAGAAAAAATATATATAAAACAGCAATAAATTATCCCACAAGACGTCTTGTAATATTCCACTTTGGCTTAATATTTCGGAGATAAACATGCAGGGAGGCATGTATTACCATCACAATGCAGTGAGGGCTCCACTCCCACTGCGTTTTCCTCTCTCGCCTGAGGAACACCCCTTCACATCGGATTGTAGCCTACATGAGGGATTAAAAGGCTAACCCACGGAAAATCCTGAGCCTGGTGGAGCTTCGAGCACCACTTAATATATATAAA